TTGTTTCAAATGTATGGATTTCTCCTTGAATTTGGACCGTGATGAAGAGAAAATAGCTCAGGTCTCCTTCAGGATGAACTGATACTGACAGTAAAAGGCCCACAGGGGAGATTCAAAGCTACAGTTGTTAAGAGGGTAGTTTTATTGGAGATACTAGAAAAGCAATCTAAAGGGGTGAAATGTATTAATAGGTAAAAAAGGAAAAGATTGCTTTGATCAGTTGGTGACAAGTCACCATAACACAAACTGTGAGCACTTTGTATGATGAAACATTGGCTCCTTTTTCCTCTTTAGCTAATGGATTAATTTAAAGTTGTATTTTGGGACTCATGATTAGCTTGTCTTCTTCATTCTATTTAGATCCCTGTGCCCAGATCATTGGAGGAAAAGAATCAGTTCCACATTCAAGACCTTTTATGGCCAAGATCAAAGACTCAAAGGGGTGCCTTTGTGGGGGGACCCTGATCAAATCAAACTGGGTATTAACAGCAGCTCACTGCGAAATGTAAGTTCGGAAGTTTTGCTAGGTTTTTATTTATTTCTTTTTAAAATCTTGTTTTTTATATATATGATATGTATGTATGTACGTATGTATGTGCATATACATATAAATACACACACACAAACAAACACACACACACAATACACACACACAATTCAAGCATAACATAGTCCTGCAATTTAGGGATGAGCAAAACCTAAGGTTTCAACCCAAGCAAAACTGTCAGCTGGGTATCGTCTTTTAGGTAAGTTGTTCACTATCCCAGCTTCTTGGCCTAAATTCTAGGGGTTAAAATGAATGAAAGAAATCCAATCTCTATGTATGTGTATGTACCTATATGTTACTAGGATTTTTCAATACAATGAATACGTACAAAAAGAGATTGAAAATAGGAAAAGGGGGAAGAACAGAAAAGAAAGAAAATATACATTCTTTCTATCAAGTCATTATCACTTTATTAGTTTCACCATTCCCTTTGTCCTTTTTTAGTTCCCAAATGACAAAATCATCAGTTTAATCTTTTCTTCTTTCTTCTCTATGTAAGGTTACCAGCTTTTCAAAAGATTTTTCTTTCTTTCTTTCCCTGTATCCAGATTGGAAAGACTTTGCTACTTTTTCAAGTACAGTTAATGTTATAGTCCTAACTTCCTTTGTAAATATTTCATTACTTTCCCAACCTCTTGCATGCAATAATGTCGCCACAGTTACCATATGCAAAATTGGTTTCTCATATTTCTTTTCTAAATCCATGATCATAAAACCCAATAAGAATAATTCTGACCACACACACACACAAACACACACACACACACAAAAACACACCTCTACGGTTGGGGTCTACCAGATGAAGGGCTATCCATATTCATGTATTATAATTTATTTTTGAACATAGCCAGAAATAAACCATTGAAAGTAAACATCTTCTATCAAAATATATATTTACTTTCACTGCTGAAATAATACTCCAATGAAAATTGAAATAAAGCCTGCTGTCTCCAAATTTTAAATTTATGTACCAGGATATAAACAATGTAAAAAAACAGTAGAATTTATCCCCGGAAGAAACACAGAAGATTGAACTGCCAAATGATAAAACTTGGTATCCTTCAGCTGAGATTATGAACTTTACTCAATTCTTATTTACCCTCTTTGTTTTTTAGAACAAACGACACTAAAGTTATTCTTGGAATTCATTCAGAAAGAGACAAAGCAAAACAAGTTTTCAAAGTTAAAAAGAACATTTCTCACCCGTGCTATGATAATGTCACAAAGGAGAATGACATTATGCTTCTTCAGGTATATTCTAAAGAATATACATAAATAATATACATGTGAAGGACAGCAAGAATGGTTTCTCTTTTCTTTATGGATTCAGGGAGTCCATAACTTACAACCATATTTGGGACTGGAACTAAAACCTTTGTTAAAGGGTAACGTGACCAGATTTTCAGATTGGAAAAGAGGGACACCCTTGACCGGGGGGGGGGGGGGGGCTTGATTAAAAAAAAAAAATTTTGTCAAAAGGTCATCCCAGGACACTGAAACCAGCATAAATACGAATCTGTTGCCAAACAAAATTTTGATCACGTGACCATGAGGATGCTGCANCCATCTTCAGGCTGGTGTTTTCGGCTTCATGCTTGTGCGAGTAAAGCGTGGTCAGAGCTGCCGTCTTTCTATAAATCTTGTGGGCGGGTATGAAGTGCTGGCTTTGTTGCTGTAAGTGGGTTGATTGGCTGTGTAGTTGCATCCTGATTGGTAGATGGAGTTGATGTTTGTAGATTAGTCAGCTGTTTCGTATCAAACATCAACTCCATCTACCAAACAGGATGCAACCACAGAGCCAATCAACCCACTTACAGCAACAAAGCCAGCCCTCCTCACACACACACACACCAAGATTTATAGAAAGATGGCAGCTCCAACCACGCTTTACTCACACAAGCACGAAGCTGAACACACAGTCAGCTGGGTATCATCTTTAAGGTAAATTGTTCACTATCCCAGCTTCTTGGTATAAATTCTAGGGGTGACAATGAAGCAAAGAAATCCAATCTATGTTCATGTGCATGTGCCTATGTGAATTTTTCAATACGATAAATATGTACAAAATGAGATTGAAAATAGGAAAAAAAGGAAAACAGAAAAGAAATTAAAAGAGAAGAAAATACACACTATTTCTATCAAGTAATTATCACTTTATTATTTTCACCATTCTCTTTGACCTTCTTTAAATGCCAAATGAAGAAATCATCAATTTAATCTTTTCTTCTTTCTTCTCTATGTAAGGTAACCAGCTTTTCAAAAGAATGTTTTCTTTTTTTTCTTTTCCTGTATCCAGACTGGAAAGACTTCGCTATTTTTTCAAGTTCACTTAATGTTATAATCCTAACTTCCATTGATATTTCATTACTTTCCCAACCTCTTGCATGCAATAATCTCGCCACAGTTACCATATGCAAAATTGGTTTCTCAAACTTCTTTTCTAAATGCATGATCATAAAACCCAATAAGAATAATTCTGACCACACACAAACACGCACACACACACACACAAACCACAGTAGGGAGAAACTGGGATAAACCAAAAACCTTGATAAAATAGCAGACAAGATTGTGCTGGCATACTTACTAGCCAGAGATTGGAATCAACTTTCATAGATGATATTAGAGAATTTACAAGCCCTCTTCCAGTTGTTTCTATTCCATGTAGAGCAAAGCATGACATTAATAGTACAAGCCTCCCTGCACATTATTGGTGTTCTTGTTTTTCTGAAAATTGCAAATAATTTGACCTCCCTTTGATTTTTTACTTCCCGAATATCCATATATAGGTGTGAATATTCATGTATTGTAATTTATTTTTGAACATGGCCAGAAATAGGCCATTGAAGGTATTTTGCATCTTCTATCAAAATATATATTTACTTTCATTGTTGAAATAATACTC